CAAGAATTAACTGTTAATAAGTTGTTAATTAATTGTAATAAGTTGTTGGCATATTACAAACAGAATAAACAATCCATCTAAGGGATTAATTCATCAGATGAAAAGGGTATCATAGTGACATAAAAATATACAGAAGATGGACTTATTTGTAACCCAATAAATCAAACGCATAAAGCGTGTTATTGCTCCAACTTGGAATATATTAAATTTAATCAACATTGTATTGAATTAATTGGAGTATATCGATTCTGTATTTAATATTTAAATATTTTATATGAATAAGCTAAAAGCTTCTCTTAATGTTATAATATAATAAAAATTTCGAGGTTTTTGATTGGTAATAATTTCCTTATTTAATATAGTTTCAACTAGTAAGGTTTTAACTCATCTAATTAACATGATTTTTTTTTTATAAACTCCAACTTTAGCATTATGTATAGTGAGGCTCGAGGATTTAACCTTTTTTAATACCTTTTATAGGTTGCAATTCGCAATAAGATACACTTGTTTTGGTGCCCAAAACTTTTTTGTTACAAACTCAATGAAATATAGAAAGTGGGGTGTTATATTAACCGTGTTTTAACTATATGTTTCGATGCTTGATTTATTTCGGATTACTGTCAAATGATCATTTTCAATCGGGTAACTTGAGCATTTTGCCGAACTAAGGTTTCCGTCTTAATGAATTTCAATGTTTTCTGTGTAAAGATATTCAGTATGTCAAAACAGGATTGGAGGGAAATTCTGCCCATTTTTTTTTATTTATTAAAATTATCTTAAAATAGTTTAAGTATGTTTTTTTCAACTCAATAATGGATAAAAAATAGTTGTTAAATATCCTGATATTTAAAATGTTATACTTATTTCAGTAAAAAAATACATTTTACTGAAATAAGTATAATAATTAGCATCAGTCTGCCATAAGTTGCAGAATTTTTAAGAACAATTTTACAATATATTTCAAGGTGGCCATATTCGCTCAGTCTTTCCGATCCGGTTATCTGTAATTTCAGAACGAGGAACCGTAGATTTTTCATCCGGCTATCCGATATTCCGGACAGGAAAAACAGGGCGAATGAAACTCCCTTCAGAACACTAGCGGATCCATGATTTAATTTTGGGGGGGGGAGCTTCAGCCCGAAAGCTTTTTTTTATAAAAATAACGATAATTAGTTTGAAAAAACAGAAAGAAACTAACTACCTATATAACATGGTGTTTAAGTAATTCTTTAATTCCTTTTAAGTGTAATTACACGAACAATAATACTTCAAGAGGTATTTTTAAAATTTCTTATTCCATAAAACATGGTTATATTTTACCATTTGGGGGGGGGGGCATCAGCCCGAAAGCCCCTCTCCCCGTAGATCAGCCCGTGCTTTAGAATCTGTGGATCCTTTTTGATTTTGTTCCAATCAAGTAAACTTAGCTTATATTATTGTGAACATTAAGTTATTTTAAAAGATTCTAAATTTTTATAACTATTAGGTAAGATTAAATCATTTATTCTACAAATATTTTCTAGTACGTGATTCATAAAATTTACATGAAGTTTAATTTTAGTCGATTGTTTATAGTATTTCATAATATTTTAAAGTTATTTATTAATTATTTTTTTAAATTACTATAAAAGTATTTCATCGATGAACTATTTTTATTTTATGTTTTTAAGGAAGAACAGTAATTATTAATTTCATTTCAAAGCCAAGCGAAGATGCTGCCATCTCTTGGCAAGTAAGAGAGTCCAGCCACCGCAAATAAAATAGATTAAAATTAGCCACCAACCCACCCAATTCAAACACAAAATGTAATAGTTTTATTAAAATCATTCCAAAATTAATTCACTAATCCAAAAATACCAATGTAATAAATTTGGCACAATTACACAATAAGCATTATAATTTAATTTAAACCACAGCATTCAGTTTAATACATCATATTTTAGCCTTTAATAAATTATACACGGTACTTTTATTTCGCCTCTATGCAATACAGTTATATACCAAATAACCACAGTAAAGCCAAATCATTATGGTAATAACGCCGATATATTTAGAAGGGATTGCCATAATCAATTGAGCATATGCTATAATCTTTATTATTTAATATATAAAAAATTATAATTGTGGGTTGATGGTTGACTGTCGTGAATAATGAAGAGAAGGATGGTTGGGCTTATTAGTCATAAATAAAAAGGCAAAAATAAATAAAATAATAATATTTATTTTAACATTTACCGAAGTTTCAGGCCTTCATCAAGGCTGTTCGAATAGATTGCAGGAATAGAGTTTTCCTGGAATAGAAAACTCACTCTATTCCAGCAAACTCTTCGAACAGCCCTGATGAAGGCCTGAACTTCAGATCGAAACGTCATCAAATGTTAAAATAAATGTTATTATTAATTTTTGTCTTTTTATTTCTGACTGATCGCCCCAACCGTCCTTCTTTTCATAAAAAATTATAGTTAATTTTTTTCTAATTAATAATTCTGGAATAAAAACATAATTTTATCTTTGGCATAGGATTGATGATAGAACGAAAACTGGTTCCTCATGCCATTGACTTCAAACCAATAAATGCCAGGCTCTGCAAGACATGTATTAGAGTAAAAGATATAAATATAGAAAAAATACCAAGACAAAGATTTTTCTTAAGAGGAGTTGAGGACATGCACTGGGCGCCTCAGAAACTCGTGTTTGGTGGTTTCAATGCACAAATCGAGAAAGAAATAATTTACAAAAAATCATTGGTCCATGTTGATTTCATAACAGAAATAATGGCAAATGGACACTGCCATGGTTAAAATGTTCAAGCACCGTACTATATCTAAAAATAGTTTCAGTTTCAGTTTACTGCAAGACCGCAAGAGTCTTGCATCAAATAAAGCGGTCTTGGTCTTGATCTTGCAAAAGTCCAAGACCAAGACCAAGACTGCAAGACCGAGCCCAATTTTGAGCAATACTAGTTGTGGAAAGCTCCTATATCCTTCACAAGAATACACCAGCGCGGTACAAGCTTGTTCAATCTCAAATTTGCCCAAATTGAAGGCACTCATTACTTGTTGTGAGTGCCTACAGGGGAACTAATGCTGATACAGATCAATACCCACTGATGGCGAAACTTGAGTTTAAATCTCAATTAAGAAACAAAATGAATAAAAACCCATGAAATTCAGCTCAACGCTATAGTACAAACCATCGTAATTTTTACGACCACCCTAAATAAAACAATATATGACACTACAGTAAACATGGCTCTTTGACATCAGCCCTTCAGTAACGTTTCACCATTGGCAAAGAATAATCTTGAAATAGTTTAGTGTTTAAATTTAAGTGAGTGGTGCGTGAAATCAGAACATTACTCACTCACACTCGTAATTTTTACGAACATTTGTGAAATCGTAAATGTGAAACAACTAAATGGATGGTTCAAGAGATATTGAAGACTATGGTTGATAACTGTCAGACAACTTATTAATAGATGATGTAGTTTTCACAGAAAGTGAAGAGGAACACTTTGAAATTCCTGAAGCAAACCCAGTTTTTGAGGAAAGTGACATTGAAATTTTTTTTCTAGAAAACGCGCAAAACAAGTGCCCTGACCTTCTTCAGCTAGATAAAAATAAATATAAATAAATAAAAAGGATAAAAATAAATATGTTATTGTGCCGAAAAAAACTACGAGGTAAGAATGGACATTTTTTCGTTCATCAAATTCAAACCCCACCTTTTTGGAATTTTTGTAACGAAGAACTAAATATATTTATAAATTTGTATCCTATCTTTATAAATTTTAGGCATGTTTCTAATTTAATAAACAATCAGTCTATAAAAATCTTGTCTTATTTCTTTAGAAAAATAAACCTTACTTCTAAGTCGTAAAATTTACGAACGTTTGTGTATAAGGTATGTTGAAGAACTTTTATAGTCAAGGGTTAACGAACCTAAATAGATCTCGGCTTACATTTATCTGTATAACTGATTATGTACAAGAAGGTGAGTAATCCAGCACACATCGCATTAGGGAGGTTACGTTGGACCTTTCATGTTGTGAGGATGTAAGAGGAAGCATTCTCTTTCGAAGTGTGACTGGAGCAAATGTTTGGAGTTCATTGCACTGGAAAACCTCAGCATCGCCGGGAGGAATGTGTCGCTTCAGATGGCCGAGCCCTACTTGACATTCGTAATGGGAAAGTGGTAACACTCGACAGAGAGTCAACTAGCGGTCGATGCTGGAGTAGGCCAAGATTCAACTTTGTGGGTCATAGAGCCGCTAGATGAAGAATAAATGATGGTAAGTCATTTAAGGTCTTATGGATGACTTTATAATCCGTGGTACAGACCCCTTTTTATCGAATTATTAACATCCGCCTGAAACTTCGTAAATAGTTTTACCTCATCGTAACCTATGACTATTTTATTTACGAAAACTCTTGGAATTGGGTGGTTTTCAATCTGTAGGGGAGCCAACTTTGTCTATTTAATTAGATACTAAAAACTCGTAAATACTAATTTGCTTTCTACTTAGATCGTAAGATAATTTGATCAAAAAATCGAGAAGAAAGGTGGCCTTCGTAAATATTGAGGCCCAATATTTTTGCAGAGCTCCTTTTTTCTCAATTTTTTTATCAAATTATCTTACGATTCAAGTAGAAAACAAATGAGTATTTACGAGTTTTTAGTACGTAATTAAATAGACAAAGTTTGCACCTCTCCAGATTGAAAACGTCCCAATTCCATGAGTTTTCTTATATAAATTAGTTGTATGTAACGATGAGATGAAACTATTTACGAAGTTGCAGGAGAATGTTAACAATTCGATGAAAAGGGTTGTGTACCACGGACTATTAATGCCATGAATTATTCCATCCGATCAAGTAAATGCATAAAAATAATGGTTATAAGATTATTATGTTGCATTATATTTTATTTTATTTAAAACAAAAAAAAACAATTAGTTATTAATACTAAAACATAAGGGGCGATAAGAAAAAACAATAAAATATTTTTAAATAATTTTATTTTCAAAACAAATTTAAAATATTTTTTTTTGAACATAAATTGTCTTATATACAAGTCCTATTATTTGTAAATACATAATTTCCAACACTACCCATTTGATACAGATACACTTTTTTTTTCTCAATTTATAACATAAATTATCCCAATGATAATAATAAACTTAATATTAAAAAAAAATGTTTCGTCGCAATAATAATTTTTCCCTTCAACTTTACTAAAAATATAGTTTAAAGCGTAATAAAAGCTTAATTGCTACCAAATCTACTCTCATATAGTTTTATAAATAAATTTAATATTTTTTAAAATAAAAATTCGTAATGTAAATAAAAATAAGTTTAAGTTCAAATTTTATGATAAGGTTTGAGTTCACTTTTAATACTATTAAAAATATTTCTGTGACTTAAAGCAGAAACAATGAATATCAAAGTTTCTCACTTTTATTATGAAGTGATTAAAACTCAATGGAATATAAGTATAATCACAATATTATATAAACATATAATAAATAATATTATGATAATAATAGCTTGGTATTGATTGTTATTGCGTTAAGTCGCAGAGTTTATTTTAAAATTTAATATATTAATACTGAAGAAATTAATTTTTATACGAATACGTGTAGTTCAACTGTACTCGTAAAGAAAAAAAAAAAATGAAAAGTACGTATATTTACAATTTGAATTACATATACCCTGTTGTACAATTTTAAAACTATAACTAAATCATGGTGATGCCGACAGTTATATAAAAAAAATATTATATCTAACTCAGTGTTTGTTCTCCACGGTCTAGGCTGGGTGCTGGGGAAAGAGACTCCTTCATTATTGCCCTGATTTCGCTGATTGGCTTAATAAGGGCGATCAGAACATCGTCATCCCTTCGCTAAAAAAAGTAAAAAAAAACAACATGTTAGCAACAAAAAGTAAGTTTATTTAAAAATAAGGATATTTGTCATAACTCTATAAAATGAAAATTTATTTTTTTTATTCTTGAAGATATAGTTTATGATATTCTTTAAGAATATCATGGTAAAGCCGACGTTTTAGCCCAACCATATGTGCCATATATTGGGATGCAACATATATCAGAGAAATATTTGTCGAGTTATTGCAAAAATTCAGAATAATACAAACCCTATGGCACGTCAAAAATACACTTATGATTTTATTTTAAGCAAGGAAATTTTTTTAAATTACTCAGATTTTTAATTATGAAAAGTGTCACTTAATCAATTTTAAAAATAAAACAAAGAAAGAAAAGTAAATTTTATTCTGAAACATTCACTCCCCAAAGCATATTTACATTTTCCTGACACTATGAGAAAATCAATAAATAATTAAGTAACACAATAATTTAACCTTAATATTAAAATAACAAAGCACGAGTTAACATATTAATTTATACATAAATACATATCAGTGCGTTCACATATGTGTACTGACAGTGCCTTCCTTAGGGTGAGGCCACCGGGTTTAGAAATGTTAGAAATTAAAATAAAATACAAAACTTATTAAAATAATTAATTTTAGCATATCAATAAAGCAACTGTATTAGAGAATTGTTGAATGAAGTAAAATTCAAATATTACATAATATAAAACCGCTGAAGAAATAAATTTAATTTTTTTTGAAGGGGTGGGAGATAGCAATATTGGTAAAACGAGCCTTTCAGTTGGCAGAATGACTAACTTCAGTTTCAACATTTTTGAGGAAAGTCATTTGAGTGATATTTCTTTTTGGAAAATTTATAATATCTTATTATTGAGTAGGTTGATTCCAAAGCAGGTGTTTGCAGTGTTGAAATATAGAACTGTGAATAAAGATATCAATTTTCCCACTAGAAAAATTCTATAATTAATTATAAAAAATGTTGAAGTTGGGATTAGTCATTCTGTAAACTTAAATAATGCTCATCTATAAGTATCTGAAAGATAACAGTCAAACGGCTGGATTATCTCGTTATCTCGTGTTAAACGTATGGACAGAAGAACAAGAAGTAAATAAGTCAATAAGGCAAGATAGCTTTTTGGTTGTAAAAGTTTGGAAAATGAATACACCTAGAAAATATAAAAAAGGGAAAGCAGTTTTAAATATACAAATTAACAGACAAAAATGATATTTAATTAATCTAATAAACCTAATTGATATATATTAACAAACATGGCATAGTTGATAATGTATTATTATGACTACATTTGATTAGGAGCAGTTGAGGAAGAAAATGGTGCATAATGAAACGAGAAGTATTTAACATATTTTGTAAATTCGAAACGTCTAAGTTGATTTAGACATGGAAATTCTTCATCAACCTACCTTGTAGAAACTACATCTTGTTTATTTTTTTTGTTAAAATGATCCGATAAATTTTAATTCAACCCTTTACTAGAGTTTTTAAAAAAATAAATAAATAAAAAACTATTGTTTGAATTTTTTTTTATATGATAATAGTACTTTTCAAAATAATCGCTCAGAAAATTTGTCTGTTTTCGCTCTAATTCTGTTTCTAAATGGAAGAAGATTACAAATGTATAATGATCTTTCATTATACGTATGGCATAAATAAAAATGTTTTTTGTAAGAAGGAACTTCTAAACAGAGACCAAATTGAACAAAGCCACAAGGGTATTTCAAATAACACATGTTGCTTATAGGTCACCTATTGTGCCTATTGGTTTGGTTTGATTGTTGTGGTTTGGTTCAATTTGTGAGGGCTGGCCGCAGTTCGGAATGATTAGAGGTCTCAATATTAAAATTTCTGACATTAAAAGTGCGGAATTATCACTGTCTTTTATTCTAAATGTTTAATGTCTTGTGAAGATTCATTAAAAACATATGGATATTTGCATCAAAGAATATTTTAAATAATGCTTTGTTTCACATATTGAAATCTTAAATGGTGTTAGTTTTCAGAATTTGAAAAATGAATGATCCGATTAGAAATACAAATAATAAATCATTAAATTTCATCATTAATTAAAAGTTTTTTAATGTATTTTCTTTCACATAGTTTTTTTTTTTACTTCCAGAGAAGCATACCTGTAGAAAACATATACCGTTTTCACCAATTTACAATCCTCCAAAATATCAGTTGGCAGCGAAGCAGTACTGAAAATACTCATCTTTCTAGATTCGCCGTTGAAGCTAAATCGCGCATACTTTTCGTGATTTATAATAATCTGGTTTTCACCAAGTCAGATCTTGATGATTTGTGCGGATTAACTCCGTAATGAAATATACGACTCGCCTGTCACATAACTTTCCCTGTTCTAAAATTTATTTAATTATTTGTCTCGTGTCCTCAAAAACCTTTTTTTTTTTTTCTTGTCAGTGTTAAACGAACCTTCTTTACTTTTAGCAGATTAAGGAATAGGAGATATAAGCTTTTCAATTAAAAAAATATTTATAGATTATTAATATCAATAAGAATACTAACACAACAATAAGAGATAAAAAACGCTTCTCCATCATGTGTCTTGTGAGATGTTCGTATGCTATTTAGAGATCAGTTACGTATGATACGCCGTTTTACGATTTTTTTTCTTTGTAGTTAATGAAAGAGCATTATTTTTACGACTCAGTAAAAAATGAGTTTACAAACAAAATATTAATTTTTCCTACCACTAAATAAATTAATTTAACAGAATCAAATGAAGTATACACCATCTAATAATAAATACGGTAGTAAGTACTATTTCGATCAACGGCTTTGCAAGAAGGGGATTTGACCGAGATCACGCTCAACAGCCAGGTTTCCCTGACTATTTAATTAAGGGTACTCATTTTATAGAGGGTTGGTATTCCCAAGATCGATCCACCGCCAAAGAAACAGAATAAATAGTTTATCTACCATCAGCCGGATCGAACCTTAAACCTTGAGCATTGGATGTCAGTGCCCTACGATTTAACTTAAAAGTCATACCTGATTTATATATAAAAATTTAAATCGATCTTTGATGTTTATTGATTCAACTAAAAATATTGATCACTCACTGAGTGATACGATTTTACATAAATAATAATTACTAAATTGTGGTAAGAAAAATTTTGATAAAAAAATAAATATCATCTTTTACACACAAATTAAATAGAATATTAATATGTATGTATACGTTATTAATGTACAATTTTATTTATTTTTTATTTTTTATTCTAATGAAATTTACAACTGTATTACATGGAAAATACAACAAGTAAATGTGACATTGTTAATATGACATGTACAACATGAAGAGAAACTACCTATTGGTAGAACTCAAATTAAAGTTCTATCTTAGAAGGTCCCGAGGAGGAAGCAAGGTTTGAAACGAGAGGATTCGAATGGTTCTGCAGTTTGTTATGGAAGGATAGGTATCTGGATTGGGCCAAATAGGAAACTTATGGAACATTAAGGTCTTTATGGATGATTTTATTTGTGACAAAGTAAGGAGCGTTGAGGATTTTACGAAGGATTTTGGATTGTAAGGATTGGATACGAGAGGAATTCGATGGTTTAGTGGAGCCCCAAAGCTCAATTCTGTAAGTCCAAATAGGTCTTATTATTGTCACATATATGAGTCGTTTGTAATTGATTGAAAGCTTAGAGCGTTTGTCTAGCAAGTGCTGCAGTAGTCGATAACGTCGGGCGGTTTCTAGTAGTTTCAGTCTGGTATGGGGGTACAAAGTTTTTAATATTATATTTATGAGATCCCTTTAATTTTGTATGACAGCTGCTTAAATATATATGTGTATATTTCTTTTTTTTTTTTTTTTTCTGTAGCTAAAATGTCTAATGAATTTCATAAATAAAGATGCTCTGTTGCTCACAATTGACAACCATATTCACCACCTACTACCCCAGACTCAAAATATACCATAGAGATTATTATAAAATTATATTTCCCATTTAAAAATATATTACCCAAGAATATTTATTATTGTTAATTGTAATTATTTTGTTCAGAAATGAGTTTTGTCAATAAAAATAAAAAATAAATAAAAATGAAAATTGATCTTAATAAAAATCATCGAAGGATTCTGATCAGATTTGATTTTTTTTTTTTATCGATTTCAATACCTGGTATAAAAGTCTATTACCGAGAGCAAATTAACCATATTTGGGTATTTTTTTTATTTATTAAAAATATCAACAAGTATGTTTATATATTAACCGTAGTGTCCAATGGATCATCATAGAGCTATTCTGCTCCATTTACTTTTTAAATACATTTTTAGTACGTAATAGACTATCATAAATAGCAATAATATAATTTTTAAATCTACACACTCGATAAGTAAACCATGGCAACCATTGCCTTTAAAAAGCGGTAGCTGATCTGAGGAAAGAGCGCCCTATCCATGAAGATGAGGAATGTATCGATAGGGATTGAGAAATCCTAAAATAGTTAATCTTTTTATGAGTTTATCTTGAAAAGAGTTGTTACACACATGGTGCTTTTATTATTATTAATTTAGTTGTAAATTGAATTATATTATTATTGCGATCATGTCGTATCCATGAGCATGAAACCTCTATGAAGAAAAGGTTTCAAGGGTCGTCCTAAAACTTCGTGAATGGCTTCATTTTATCGTAACCTAAAAAAAAAAATCTCATCTACTAAAGTCCTCAGAAACTGGTCGTTTTCTTATTAAATTCATCAGTTTAATTAGGTATATATACCCATTTTCTTTTCAATTTAATCGAATTGTGATTTGATCCCAAAACCGAAAAAAAAGTTGGTCTACTAAAATATTGGACCCGTATGGCCTCTATAATCTAGGAAACGCCAAACGGCCCAATATTTCTTTAGGCCATCTATATGCTAGATTTTTTTTATCAAATTATCTTACGATTATCAAGTTTAAAGCAAGTGGATGTTGATGTGTTTTTAGTACCTAATTTAGTTCGAAATTTATATTGAAAAGGTCATAATTTTTCGTAATAAAAAAGTTGTACGTGGGATACAATGGGAAATAAATGAATAAGAAATAAATGAAGTTTTAGACGAATGTTAATAATTTGATAAAAAGGGGTCTGCACCACGGGCTAACAAGCAAGGTAGCTCTATATCGAATTTATTTTAACGTCAGGCGAATCTAAGAAAGCCCTTTTAGCTATAGAATTCAGGTTTTTCAGTGGTTTATCTTATTTCATTTATACCATATTGTAAATGAAAGAAGATAAAAAAAAACAATAATAATAACAATTAGTCATCATGCTGTTTATGTAGTAGTTTAATTTGAAATAAATGTTCTAAAAACTACAATTTCCCACAAAATAAACATTTATCCCCTCAATAATCTTTCAATACCAAAACTAGACTTTGGTAGTCTCAGCTTTACGTAAACGAAGCATTAAATCTTTTATATTTTCTAGCTGGAAAGGGTTGAAGATCCACACATATATATGGCAAAGCTCGTAAGTAAGAATTTTAAATTTTTATTCCATTTATGCTAAAGGTGAGATTTTGTAGTCTACAACTAGCTTGCTACTATGGAAAATAGCTGAGAAAAATAAAAAATGGAATTATATTAATAAATTATAAAGAAATAATCAGTTTTAATGAACTTTTGTACAAAAACTCAATTTTTACGTAGGACCTTTTGCAATAACATTAACGATATATACATACATACATATATACATATATATATATATATATAGTGTGTGTATATATGTGTGTGTGTGTACTGATACATAATTTTGGTGTATAGAATTCATTTGGCTCATAGTGCCTCTTCCCTCTCAGTAAATTCCTGTATCCACAACTGCTAAGAGTTTTGTTCAAATTGAGTCAAAAATATCTAAGAAGCTTTTAAGGCCCACGACCATTTTGGGCAATCTTTTCTGGCACTCTCAGGATGATTTAATCGTTATTGGTTTATCTGGGCAGCAGCTGCAATGTTTTTTCCCCCAACCCAAATATAACCTATTTCCGTTTGTGTACAGATGCGAGATTGATTAATCTTTTTTGCTCAGAATCTACGCTTCGACGAAAAAAATAAGGAACTCCTATATACGATCAATGGTTACTATTAACCTTAGATTTGTTTAACCAACGTCCGTGTTCTCTGAAATAAATACGCCAATCTCACGATCATAGTATCGACATGTCTTTCCCCGGGTGAATCTAACATCCTCTACTCAACAAAAGTCTAAACAATTTGTTTCCTCTTTCTCAGAGTTTTTTAAAAATAATTTATCTTAAATGGAAATCGGAACGCTTAAACTGTAAGGAAGACACCACATTAATGGACATGATATGCATGTTAATATATAATTTTTACCTGGAAAAGAATTTCTTTCTCGAAATAGACAAATCCTTTTTTCTTCGCTGCAATCAAAAGGCCAACAACTTTGTCATTTATTCGGGTGTACATCTGAAAATAAAAAATAAAATCAGCAAATAACGAACTAGATATTAAAAATAAAGTGCGTATTCACTAAATAATAATAATAAAAATATTTATATATCAGCAGCAATTTAGTTACAAAATTTAACTTTATCGTATATAGTGAAATAATTATAATAAGATAGTATAATTATAATAAAAATATAAAAGGACCATCAACAATCATCGTCCTTGATACGGCTACAACCTTCTCCAATTCAAGTCTTCAGTCCTTTCCACAACATCTCGACTTTCTGACATTTACATCTCTTCTCACAAATCTGCCCCATTTCAAAACTCCTTTATTGCTCGCGCTGTCAATTTCTGGAATTTCCTAACTACCAAAATTCGGCATTCCTCCTCCATATGCACATTCAAAATCCTCCTACTCCAATTCCTATCCCAAAAACAGTCAGATACTTGCTAATTTCTTGATATTATACATTTCTATTAGATCATTCATCATCAAATGATAGTACTATTCCATACTGTAAACTTCAATGGGGATATTACAATATCTTCCTACTCTTAATGCCACATTACAATAAGATAATGATCTGTTTACATATTATTCATGATTTAAATACTCTAACATTTTATATTGTACGATTCGTCTTTCTTTTGTTAGCAGAAACACAGAGCTTATTTTAAAGAAGAACTCAATGTATTTTTTAATATTTTTTCTCAAAACTGTATGATTATAATTTGTCCTAATGCACATAGTTTTAAGTGTTTTGAATATAGATTTATTTATTTAGTTTTTATATAGGTTGTTTAACTAATATTTTATTATTTTTATTGATTTATTTAGGCCAGATGTAGTCTTTTAATTCTATACTATTTTGTTATCTTAAAGGATTTTTGTTCCAGAATAAAGTTATTTTCTATTTCTAATATTTTATAATAGATCATGTTTCATACAAAAATTAGTTTTTTTTTGAAGTGGAAGCTTGCATCTTTGAGCACTTTTTGCAATTTTTTTTTTTTTTGCGGAAGGTGAATTAGATTGAACCGTTAGATATGCGATGGGTAACACTCGGGTAAAGTCGACTGGGGTTGACTAATCAAAGTATTTTTTCTTATGGATTAAAATATCTCAAAAACTAAAAATCGGACCTGCACATTGTTAGCGAGATAAATGATCACCATTTCATCCTATTTGTGATGAGCTATTATTTAAAATTTTATCTTAACGCAACGCCGTATTATTGAGGCGAAAAGGAAAAAACTAGTATGATAACGACATTAATATAATATCTATATTAAAATATCTCTGAAACTAAAAATCGGACTTGCATTCTGTGAGCCGGGAAAATATTTAGTATTTCATTCTCTTTACAATGAGCCATTATTTATAATTTATTTTTCATATTTTTAATCTCGCCTCGTTGATTTTTCACTTCTATCGTGTAGTCTAAAGAGTACACATATTAGTTTTTTATTTTTGGGGAATTTCATTTTTGGTTATAAAAGAACGATGGAATTGTTTTTAAATCATTTTCATAACTTAATCTGGTACAATTTTCCAAATTTCACCAGAACCTTTCTCATCACCCAAATCCCGTTGTACAATCCCTATCAAGCACCACCCATCCCGACAATCCCCTTCGTAGGTTAAAGCGGCAGTGGCCACGAGACCTTTTGTAAATATGGATATTTTGGAGTTCTAGCAATGGCCAGATTCTCCACTGAAGTCATTAGTGTCTGTGGCTGCAGCGCTCTTACTCATCCTCCGCTGGTTTTAAATACCAGTGAAGTGGCTGAGGGAGAAGCGCAGGGATCTCCTAAGCCTCCCTTTTCCCTCCACATGTGGGTGGACAAGATTGGTTCGGAGATCACCTGGCTAATTGTAAATAATGTATATAGGTATGTTTTATGTAAGATGTTTGTTTTACTTTTATTTCTATTTTTACTTACTTATGTGTATATATATTACGTACTTTTCCAAGGAAAAATCTTTCGGGCTGAAGCCTCCTCCCAATTAAATCCTGGATCCTTTTGTGCTACAGTTAATCCGATGTTGATGAAGTATTATGGGTTTTTGCGAATTGATACTTTGAATTTAATCCACTTCTTTCATCCTTTCCTTAACATACTTTCATTTCAAAAATGGTTCATTACAATTTTATCAAATTCTATTCAACAATTGAATTAGTGTAACTGCTATGCTTATCGCAAGCTTTAAAAAGAAGAGACAAACATTATAAAAACGTCTGCAAAATAAGGTCAGTACATCTTCCTCATCGTTTTCAATGGAAATATATAAAAATATCTATATTACAAGGTGTAAAGTTTTTTCATGAGGATACAATTTCTGGGAGCTATTTTCGGAAATTCAGTAATTCCACAACATTAACAGGTTTGATATCCACGAGTTTTGTTCATCAGCGAATGCTAATATATGAAAGAGGAGTTCTGCATTTGCGGATTGCACATTTGATAATTCGTGATTAAAAACATCCCCGTGCATGCTGGACTAATATCACTACTGTTAGAGCAAAATGTCGTATGTAAAAATTGAGTGTTTTACAGGAGAGCATAAAAACTAATTATTTCTTTATGATTTATTAGTATAAATTCATATTTTATTCTCCTCCGCTATTTTCCAACGTAGCAGACTGTTTATTCAAGTTGCAGAATACAAAATGTCACCTTTAGCACAAATAGAATAAAAGCTGAAATTTTTTAAACACAACATTTTTCACTAACAGTAGTGCAACTTATGTACTTAATACTTATGTTTTCACTCGTGAAATGGATGTAACTGAAAATCCTTAGGAAAAATTCAACTTTTAGTTTGTTCAGAGCTAACGAGACCAATAATTTTCTTAAGTCAGAATTAAACTATACATGCTGGAATATAAAAATATGTGTGAAGTTGACACAACTTTGGTAATTTAAGAAGGAAATCGAGACTACGACGAGCTGGTTGAACTTCAATAGAAATAAACACAATCACAAATAAGACGTAAAAATTAATTCAAATTTACTGAAAATTAAAAGAAATCTAAGTAAGGATCGATCAAACAATACACTATAAATTAACTTTTTGAATAAACCTAGCTCCCACTCCATATGATCAATTGCTTCCACATTTCACAATCATTACAATGTTAATAATTATTTATATTAGTTTTAATAATTAAATAGCATTCAATGAAATTTTTACTTATTTCTATACTATTCTCCAAATTTCTTGAAGTTTGGGTCAAATCGAACGAGTAGTTTTTAATCTACAGGCGAATCAAATAATAAATTTCCTGATCTGAAAGTGGAAGTATTTTTTTATTTTATTTTTTATTAGTGGGTGGGATTTGATAAAATTCATACATGCTTGATCATCTATTTACCAATCAATAACTTCCCTCCAAATTACAGCGAAATTGAACCGGCGCACACTGGGGTCGGTTGGAAAATGGGTTTGGGGGAAAAACAAAAGTTGCAATTTGGATGTTTTACTGCATTAGTGACAAACTAATATCGTTTCCCCTTCATGTCGAGTAATTTTTAACTTAATTATCGCATTAATAATGCTCTGATGTGAGATGATAGGAGAAGAAATGAGAACCATCAATTTTATATTTAGAGCTGGTTTGCCGGCATGTTTGTTCAAAACTAACGGTATGTGCTGGGCAGAATTTGATACTTCTTGTGAATCGTAAGACAGCTGAAAAATTCTAAGGCATTTCAAACAATTGCGAGCAAATTTCGCAAATCACCCGCAATCGCCCGAAAAAACAGATATGCCCCATCATTAACACAGATTTGAATTTATAAAAACAGTTTTAAGACCTTGTCCCAACTTATCACCCTGGAAGTTATTGAGGATTTAAAACTTTTTATTTATTTTTTTCCAGCGTGTTCGAGTTACTATCAACCCAAGTATTGACTAAATAATATTTTATTTACCACTAGTAGGTCCGTGCGAATAATTCGCAGAAAATTTTGTTTAGTGAAGAAATAGCAAAACAATATGGAAATAAGTAGTTCCTATTTATTATGTAAGGAAGGAATTAATATTTTTTTCTTGGTTGATTACAATATTCCATTAAACATAATAGACAAAAATATGTCTACAAATTGTTTTGCTAAGTCCTATTTTTAAAAACTGACTAGAAAGATAATAAAGTAATAAAGACAAAATAATGCCCCGATCATAGGATTTTCTAAATTATTAAAAAAAAATGTAAGAACAACCAAACGTTTTTAAGAAATAATAAAGTTAATATATCAGCCAAGAAAAGAAGTGTAGTAGACTATTCTACTCCTAAATGCAATATCTTTAAACAAGAAGACATTATAAGTATATAAAAACTAATGGACTGTATCTTTGTTAATAATTGTCCGATGTTTGCGATTTTTTTGTTTTGCAGATAATTTAGTAACATATGTAATTACCATAGGTACAAGAAAAAAATTCGTACTTTTTGAGTTATTCGCAAATGAGTTTCTTTTCCTTCATAACTTTTTTCCCAGAACTTTCGGAGGGATAGGACTATTTTTCGCATGTGAAGGAGAAGAATATCTTCAAAATGAGTGGTCAATCATTGGATTTGTTCAAGAATTGACGAAGTTATGGCGCACCGACAAAAAACACCTTTTAGAAATAATATATAGGATACTGACGAAATTACAAACATATGAGGAGTTTAATACATAATTCAAAAAGAAAAATTAATTACGTTTTTTTTATTACATACATGTAGTTTTATATATTTATATTTTATTATAATATTGCTGTTATCAAATAGGCAATAAATTATACAATATCTAAACCATGTAATGTTTACAATGCGAACCAATAAGAGGTGGATTTTAAACATTGAATTGGTATCTACTGCGAATATATTTACGAAACACTTATTATTTAACATAAACCTATTTGGTTTGTTTAGATCAAATGTTCTATAAACAAAATTCTTTTTAACATTATTGCTCTAACTAATCAATTGCTATTTACATCAAGTATTTTATATTGAATAATAAGT